CATCAGAAGCCCATGTGCAGGGCCACTCCATGAGACTGAGCAAGGAGAGAAGGATTTCAGCAATAGAAGCACTTTCTCTTCTTTGTCAGTTTGACTACGGTGGAATGAGTAGTTTTGGYTAGGCAGTAACAGATCAACCTAAAAACACGTTGTCAGCCAGCTGGGAAACAAAACGGATGCACAATGCCACACCACCACCGTCTGGATTTCCATCAGATAGCATCCTGCTAGTGTTCTGTGCTTTGAACAGACCTCTGCCCAGCACCTACAGGCTCCCCATGAGACTGTGATACCCAGGCATCTGGCCTCAGCAGCAAGGGAGAAAAAACTGGGAAGCACAATTACAGCTGGCTGGTGCTGGCCCCAGACTCATACACAGTGCCTTGTCAACTCTGTTCAACAGTATTTAATGCTTTCCTTCCTCCTTTTCATCATATGGAAGGTATTTTTACAAAGACAAAAGAAAACACAACCTAAGCTAAGATTAGTTTGTGTAGGTCCACTGTCTCCTGGCTTTTCCTTATCTTATAATTAATGATAACTTTATTTTTGAAGAAAAATTAAGAAAGTGTATCAGTCAGGAAAAAAATTCCACTCAGCAGAAATAATTCCCTTCATTCCAAGTGCTAGCAATTAATGCTGTGGCTGTTGGTCTACAGAAAGGCCATGTGGACCCTGGAAAATTATAAGATAACAGGGGATTAGCCATCCCCARCTGCCAGGAAACTGTCAGCTCCAGTCTGCTTCTCCAGCAGCTGGGATGCCAGTACCAGATCAACACAGTGAAGAGCTCTTTTCCACACCCATCCTCCCTTTAAACAGCTGTGAYATACAAAGCTGCAGTTGTCTGATGTGATAAGAGTGAACTCTCAACAAGGCCAAAGATCAGCTTTTTCCTATAACTTGGACAGGCAGACAGACTTCCTGCTTTGACARACTCTTCCTGTGCAAGACTGAAGTCAGTGCCCAAATCTGTTCCTGAAGGCTGTACAGCTGATGCTTGGCCAATCTYTTCTTGTCCTCCACTGAGATAAGGAATACAATGGTTGAACTGATTGAAGAAGTGAAGCAAGGTGATGCAAAATACACAGCAAGCACCACAGTGAGTTAGGAAKTGCACAAGCACTTACTGAACACTTCTTCCTAAATAAAAGTACGTACAAGATACAGAGTCCTTTACTGACAGGGAAGAGTGTAAAAGCTTTTCAGAATTTTAATACTGTAGCATTTAGTATTTATATAAGGCATAAAAATTAGTTTGGAAGTGATCAAACTGTTTCAGTACAGCTGCCAGTATCTTTTCTTATTTTCCTGCTTATTTTATTGCCGTTACTGCAACAATTTTGAACCCCCTTTTTTAACTGAAAAATACATACATCTTTGACTGCCTTGCAAAAGTTTTGGAGTTGTTTGCCTTTCAAAAATAGCACCTCTGTGGTAGATCACATAAAAGTTCCTTTCCAAGTTGTGATCAATCTGAACTTTTAGTTTAGACTACCTGAACACAACATGCAAACTTCCTGAGACAGGATGTGTTGGATATAGGAAGTATCAGGTTCTGTGCCGTGGGGAGATCTTAAATGTCAGTTTTTAGCTGCAAAACCTTAGAGCTTGTCTGAAGAATGTGCTGTGCTGACAGTGCTTTCTTTCAGTGCAGAGGGCAGAGTACAAGAGCTTAGTATTTTTTTCCTAAAAGTGACTTGCTAAAACAGTTCCACTGGGTATCCTTGATTGTGAAAAGCTGTGCATTTATTATCAATACACATTATATGAAAAGATTTTACCACAACAACCAGGTAGTGAATGGAGTAGTGGTTTACAAGTAGCAACATCATATGATATTGGTATGTGAATTATGCTATCCTAATTTCTGCAGGCTGCTTATAATTCGTATTCTTGATGCTTTTACACCAGTGAGAACAAATGAGACGGTTTTCAAGTTGCTCTTTAGGTTTAACTCGAATCTGTTTATGAGCTATACATTTCCTTCCCTTGTCTGTGCCCAGATGTTTCCTCATGGCTCTGGGATTCRCTGGAAGCAGTTATTTTCCACAAAAGAAGATATCAGCACTCCTCAGTACAAGAGCTTGGTTGAGACAATGTGTGTGCATATCTGACCCTGTCTCAGAAAACACAAACCAATGCTTTCTACGGATGTGTGACCTACAAAAATACTTGAGCCATGGTCACTGTATCTGACTTGTTACACGAAGGCTGCATTAATTGTTTARATCAATTCTAAAGTAACAGTAACACAAAATGCAATGTTCCTATAGCAGGCACAGCTATTGGTAATGTCTGGCTGTGTTCCCTTCCACCCACAGCTTCCCAAGCCCCAGCTCCTGGTGTCCCTGTGAGTTCACAGGCGGCCGCACTGCACCAGGGATGGCTGAGCACAGCGCTGCAGGAATGCACCGACTTCAGCACTTGTATTCACAGCCCCTAAGGTGCAAGRGGAGGCAGCACTGACTCACACAGAGCCAAGTCAAGCAGAAGGCTGACCAATACCCAGTGCCTCATCTGGGCAGTGCTGGCCCTGGGCTGGAACAGCCAGGCACACCACCTGCTTTTCAAGATGCCCCATACACCCAGATGTGCTTGCTTCTACATTACTTGCCAATGCTTATTATGTATTATGAATATTTTTTCTAAATTATTATATTTATTTCTAAATTATTATATTTTCTAAAATTATTATATTTAACCCAAGCTTTGACAGAAGGTGTTGAGTGCATTCAGGTTAATCCACTCAGCATTTTTCCTAGAGACTTCCTCTCCCTTACAGGTTGGAAGAACATATACTTTCAAAATGACGTAACATTCTTTTCACACCGCTTTAAAACTTAATTCCTAATTTTCATTTGTTAGCACTTCATAAAAAACATTATAAAGAAATATGAATAAGCAAAGTTGTAAACACAAAAATTTGCTCCTACAATATGCATAAAGATTTTAGTTTTATATATAGCAAAACAAGCTCCTGAACAGCATATCCCTTCCCATTTATGTATTTTGGGAGCTACATGAAGATACTCTGACCCTAGAAATCTTGGTCATGGTGTTAACCTATATGACCAAATCCACTGAATTATTAGCCAAGCCTTCAAGATTACCACTTTAGATGTAACTACACCACCTCTGTAGCTCTAAGTCATTTCAACTTCAATATAACAAAGAACATGCATTGATTTCTTTTCATATATTAAAAGGGCTTCTACCTGCACTAAAGTGGAACAAATAAATTACCAATTTCAGTTTCCCAAGACTAAGAAAAACAAGAGCAGTGCAGATGCAGGTTAATGCTTACAAATTGCTGCTTCTTTTATGTTGTTATTGCTGTCATTGATTCCTCTTTGTATTTCATCCAGCCACAGAAGCGCTGATTCATCTTGAGTTTCCTGGGAAAAGGACAGGAGAAAACCTTGAAAAAACTGARTAATAACAGTTGTCTGAACATACTGATACAGATTCAATATACAATGTCTGCTTGCAAAGCCATTGAACACTAAAAAGGATTTGGCTTCTTAAAATGAGCAACAAAACACATTCATATTCTATTTAGCAACTTGAAAAAACTCCTGTTCAGATACAAAGCTCTGTAAGTTTTCATGTGTAGAAGAACAGGAGAATTTGCTGGCACTACTAGCACAGAATTCATCCTACTAAATATCAATAAAAACGGAAACATTTTTATTTCMATGATATGTAGGCAAAGCAATCTGAGTCACATAAAATCACACATTATCAGGCAGYGCTTTGATAGTAGGAGAGAGTAGCAGAAGACTGCAGGAAATTGGCTGTCTTTCAAAATCCCTTATTTGGAAAGGACCTTTATGTATAGCTAAATACACATTACATTAGAAAATAACAGCAAAAACTGACCTAGAAAAACAGCTCAGGTTAGTAATGATGATTTAGCCAGTGCAAACATTTATGAATTTAAGCAGCAAAAGGTACTGCACTTTTTAGAGGCTAAGAGTGCATGATGTTTATCCCAAGATAGAAGGTTCAGGAAAGTGGGCTCAACATCCCCACTGACCAACCCTTCTGCCCAGCAGCACCGGTGAACCAGGACTTCAGCAGATAAAACAGCATTTTAGTTTTCTATATAGCATAACATAACATGTAAAATCTAATCAACTAGGTGGGGGGAAATTCATGCTAATTAGGAAATAGGAGTGCCAGACTTATAATAGATTAATGATAACAGAAACTGGAATCCATAGGTTAAGAAAGATCTACAAGAATATACACATAAACATTTAAGGGAAAAAACCCAACTAGAAACACACTCAGACTAAGACGGTGTGGACTAAAGCAGTTTTGCAATGAGTATCCCTGGTTTAGCACTGAACTTCCAAAGGTCTGAACTTCTGTATCTACAAACACTAAAAAAAGAAAACAGTAAAAAACCCTCAAGACATGCTCTTCAGCTTGCATCATATGTGTAAACAAGGTAGTAGAATATATAAATAACGTGAAGTGGGGTCAGTCAATCACAGGACTGTGGACACACACTGCTCATTTTTCTACCAGGTGAGAGCTGGAGTTAGCACTTGAGCATATCAAGCTATTACACATTAAATACAAGAACAGACGCAAATACTGCTCTGAAGCCAAGTACAGTTTATGCTGATTCTTGTGACTAGCCTGGAAGCCAGACCAAAACTTGGACTAATTTTGCTTGCTGAAACAAGCTGTTGTCATTTGGCATTGAAGGAAAGAAATGGGGAAAAAAAAAAAAAAAAAAAAAAGAAAAATGCCAGGCACAGAAAAAGGAAGAGATCAATAAGACAGCAAACGAAAATATGGGAAAAGTTTTAGAGGCTGCAGGCTATGGATGGGTGGAAACTGTGTAAGTGGGAGCAGTAGCTGGATCGAAGGAATCAGCTAACAGTGCTTAGGGAGGCAAAAGACAAAGCAGAATGCAGTTTTCCTAAGGCATGTTTGTATGTGTGCTTCCTCTTTGCAGAACTGAGATCATCATACTCTTCTCCAAGCCTGGCTTCTCCCTGGAGAAAGGCACAGAGTTCAGCCACGTGACATTTTAGTCTCTGAACGAGACCCTTGAGGATTTACTAAACATACCCTGGGATTGTTCCAAATATCTGTGTGTACAAATATCAGCAGAACCCTGCACATCAACTTCAGGCTTGTGGTAAATTAGGAGTTAAATTGCTGCTGTAAAGCAATTTTATCTCTGTGTTGGGCTGAGGCTGAAACTGAGTCATGTGTGCATATTTGGATACGTCACACCCTCTTGCTGTAGCAGACAAAGAACAAATTAGCTCCGTACCATAAACCTCATGCTTACAGGATGCTTCTGGAGGACAGATCAATCATTCTTTAGTCCCTTAAGAGGGGGAAGAAAGSCCACAAAACACCTCTCGAGATGAACTAGCGCAGCACCGGCTGGATCTCACACACTACAATGAAGACACTGTTTTTCATGGGTCTGCTCTCTCTTACCTCCAGTCTTTGTGCTACAGGTGAGCGAGTCCTCCTTTCTGTATCTATTCTGTATTTCAGTCAATAACATGGGCTTTTGGATAATGTTGTCACTTTACCAGCTGTGAACTCGAAATGAGTTTCACATGCATCATTACAGAAAACTATACTCTAAAAYATCTTATTTTAGGCAGGTTTTTATTCTTTCGTTTCAGTGACACTTTACTTTTCCTCAGTCATTTCCTATAAAGGATTTTATTAAAGAAACTTTCTGCACTACTGAAAACACATCTTTTATCTAGTATTTTTGCAATGATGTGGTAATTTTAAACGTGTAGTGTCTTGTTTCACAGCTTCACAGATGGTGTTATTAGAAGGAAATGCTCAGATGACTATTGTGATAAAAATAACTAAAGGAAATGATCAAATAATAAGCTTACTTTTTTCCTTGATAGAATTAAAACAGTTTTCAAACCAAGCTCATTTTTAAAGCTGGCATATATAAATATGCACTATGTATATATACACACACATGCATACCTGTGTGAGCACACATGTGACTTTTAACAAGTGGTTAAAACTAATTTTCTGGAGTGACCATCAAAAAACTACAAAAAATGATGCAGTCTACTAATTATTATGCAAAAACATTCTATCATAAATCTGCCAGTGAGCATTAAGAAAACTCTTTTCCATTTATGGAAAATTGTTTACCTTTATGAAAAGGTAAAAAAAAGTCCAAAGATTTTCATCCATATTTCAGTTTGCTTCTGAATTCCAATTTCATTATACATACTCCAGGCTTTACTAGTAAGTAATTTTGCATTAAATGCAGCCAAAAAGTTTTTAAATGACACAATTACTTACGCAGCTGTTTAGTCTGCAAAATCTATTTTACAACACATGGGCTTAAAAAGCATTTTGAACACATTATTGCTTCATGTGGAAATGTCAATGTCTCTACAAATTTCTCTACTGAAGACTGARGAACAGGCATTAATAGAAGTAGTATTATTGATTTTGCCTACATGCTAGCAATATTTACCCACTGAAAATTTTCCTCCTGTTTGAAAAGTTTTATTCACTTCCCAATAAATTACACCTAATACCTGCCCAAGCATTTGTTTTCGGTTCTCAAGACACTGTCCTTGCTCAGGTATGAGAAGCTGAAAAGATCTTGTTCGTTTTAGTTAAACGTTGAAGAATAACATTAGTTTCATATATGAGATCAAAAAAAACCTAGGGCGGTTTCAGTATTTTTATTTGAAAGCTTCAGTCTGTGTTAGACAAGACAGTGCTTTTTGCAAATTTTGCAGTCATGCATTTCATAGATGAAGTGACAAGGATAGTAATGGTGTTTGCTTTGGAAATTCTGATCAAGCCTAAACTAAGACTGCTTATAYGATGAATGACCAGCATTCCTACTACTGGGAAAAACCCTCCACTGGCCATAAGCATTATATATTTTTCAGCAAAGATTACTGAAAACAAAGTGCAGATCAGCTAACACTACATTATTGATGAATTTTCAGATTGGGTTTGAAATGATAAATAAACACTGATCTCAGTATATTGATATGAACACCAAAAGCAGAGGAGAACGTCACCAAATCTTTTAAACTTATATTGCTTTTCACATGGAGATGGTTATCTTTGTCTGTTCCTGAAGCTGAGTTATATCGTTAATTCAGAAGATTTGTCCTTATTAACAACTTGAACTATTTTTCATTTCTAAGCTTCAGAATTTCCACTGAATGGCTCTGAGATTAAAACTGTGTCTCTTATCAAAACTTTTCGAGGAATTGCAGCAAGAGACTATGATTACATCCCCCCTTATGCCATAGAAGGGGAGACAACAACCATCCGTATCAGAGAAAACAAATGCACATCAAAAAAGTCAAATGACTCCATTTTGACAGAGGTGAACAACACCACGCTGGAGTACCTGACCAGCTCTGTGAGCACCAAGCTGATCCCTGCTGTCTACCTCAGTGCTGTTTTATTGGGTGTACCCTCCAATGCCRTTATTTTGTGGATGCTGCTCTTCAGGATCCGCTCTGTGTGCACCGCCGTCCTCTACACAAACCTGGCCATTTCAGACCTGCTCTTCTGCATTGTGCTGCCCTTCAAAATAGCCTACCACATCAACGGGAACAACTGGGTATTTGGGGAGACCATGTGTCGAGTGGCTACGGCCGTGTTTTACGGCAACATGTACTGCTCCATCCTGCTGCTCACGTGCATCAGCGTCAGCCGCTACATGGCCATCGTTCACCCCTTCACCTACAAGAGCCTCCCGAAGCGYGCCTACGCCATCGCAGCCTGCGCTGCCGTCTGGGCCATCGTCTTCCTCTACATGCTCCCACTCGGCATCATGCAGCAGAGCTACTACGTGAAGCAGCTGGGCATTTACACCTGCCACGACGTGCACAGYGMCTGCGAAACCGTGTCTTCCTTTCAGTTCTACTACTACATGTCCTTAGCCATATTCGGGTTTTTGATACCCCTTGCAACCATTGTGTTCTGCTATGTCTCAATTATACGAACACTCAAGACTCATGAATGGTTCTGGTATGTGAAAGTCTGTCTTTTGATTCTTACCATCTTTGCTATTTGCTTTGCGCCAAGCAATATTATCCTTATTATCCATCACGTCAACTATTACTACTACAAGACAGATGGGTTGTATTCTTTTTATCTAATTGCTTTATGTCTTAGCAGCCTGAACAGTTGTCTTGATCCCTTCCTTTATTTTCTGATGTCAAAAATTAGGAGTCAATCAAATATTTATCTAACRATGGTTAAAATATCCAGGGAAAAATGAATTTATTTCTATTACTGGAATTATGATTTTGTATAGTACTAACCCAGACGGCAACAAATCTCAGGTGTGGCATTTAAACTTCCAGCAAAATGCGTTAGAAAAATCAGTCTCAGTTAAATTTATTTCCTTCYACACTAGGAATACCTCCAAAAATACTCTTCTCCAGCTCTACAATCTAATTACACATATTCCAACACCTGCGTACCTAGGCTCAGGGAAGTAGCTCTGCACCTCCATTCTTTCTGAGATCAATTTCTGGCCATGGAGAAGCTGCCAGAATATCAGTGACCACGGCCTCTATGTACCAGAAAAGGAGTCAGCATCCAAACTGCACTTTTAGGGCAATTCATGATACTCTGAATTAGCTCTCAGCTGACAATGACTGCAGGAACAGTGATATAAAACTAGGTTTTTGGCCTAGTGCAAATGGAGACAAGTAAAAGCACTTTGTACATTCCTGGGAGCAGTCAAGAGCAAATACAGCCCTGGATTTATTAGAAATAAAGAGCCAGAGTCCCCACAGGTTCACAGAGCAGTAAACCTGCAGCCGTGGACRCAGAACCTGACTCTTGCAAAGCTGCAACTCCTGTGAGGCTGCTTAACCAGCTTTGCACTGGAGACTTGTTCTTCCACTTTGTCAGCGCCTGCACTCCCCCAGCCCACWGGGGCTGCTGGGAGCTCACCCTTATCTGTGTGAATCCAGGCATGTAGCACTCTTGCTTGGTAAGCAAAATGGGGAAACTATTTTGTAGTATTCTCTATTTCCACATCCTCACAGGAAATACCTACAGTGTTACAAATACTGCAGCTCATTGATTTCAGTAAAACAAAGGGTCAACTTTTACCTTTACAGCAGCTCAGATGTTCCTAAAAGATTAGCTCAGTGGTTGTCGTTTGAATTTTTAACTGCAGCATGTAAATGGGGATAAAAATGTTTTATATTGTTTTGATAATAGTATTATAAAAAACTTTTTTTTAAGTAAGTTGCACTGGAAAACACCTCGGGGGAATTTGCAGCCTGGTAAGGGCTCCCCTTCTTCAATTTCTTCTGTCTCTTAAGTTAGTTTTAATCCTGCCATTCCTTCAATGTTTACAAGAACAAGTTTTAAAGATAAYTCCTCTAAAACAATTAAAATATTACACAACTACTGAAAATTTAAACAAGGGGAATCTAACCAAAAGTTGTGTACCTGTCAGACAAAAACCCGTACACCAAACATAGGAATTTGGTCTGTCTGTTTAACTTTCCAATTATCTACAGTTGGCTCCCTCAACACACGGTTTCTCTTCACTGGGACCTGAATATACTTGGTTTGAAAAGGCTTTCAGAAGTGTCAAAAGCTGTCGTTTAGGATTTACAGGACAGAATAAGTTCAAGGTTTGTGTTTTCAATTTCAAGCAAGGAAAAAAATGGGTCAGATCTGAGATGGAGACTTGTGACGGGTTCTGGCAGATTTAGGGGCAGACTGTACTTCCCCAAAGTCACCGCAGCTACAGGGACGTGACAGCAAGCTGCTTACAATAAATGAGAAGTTTTGACACGTATGTTTTCCCAGATGCTGGGGCAGGAAGTTAAGAGGGAGACCTATCTGATCCTTGTAAATCAAATACTTCCTTTTAGCACAGCTCACTCTGAAAACATGCTAAATGCAAATAAAGACAAATCTGCTTTATAAACGATTTCATAAACAAAAAACAGGGCTCAGAAAAAGTGGGAGACAGACTTCAGAAATTGCACAACCTTTGGAAACACTTTTTCACTTTTTTTTTTTTTTTTTTTAAGGAAACATCACTTTAAATCACAGCTTTACCTAAATAAAGGTGATATCTGTATGACTGATAACTGTATGCATTTGAGTCTTTCTTTTCGGAGCATTCTCTTCTGAACCAGAAGCAATACTCCTGTTCACAGAGGAGGTGCTCTAAGCAGTTGTCAAAAGACTGAAAAACCAAAATAGCTCAGAAGAGAAAAGCCAGCAGAAGTCTCTAGGAACACCACAAATTTTAGAGTGAGATGATTTCAAAGAGATTGCACAATTTTTGTTTCAAAATTTTGTTCCAAAACACTCATTTGTTTCCTATGGGCACGTTCCCACCAGGACAGGAGTAGGCACCAGGTTTGCAAGTGGGGACGGCTGGCAGGAATGAGCCAGGGAAGGGCTTGGGCTGTAGGTCTCTGCCTTGGGGACACTCTGGCTCATGTGGCATATCCAAGGCCAACTCTGTGCAGCCCCCCCTGCATGGGCACTCTGTGCACAAATACTGGCCCAAGCCTGGTGAAATCAGAATGCACGAAAACCTCCCCAGCACCCATGGCAAGGGAGAAGACTTTTCAGCACTGAGGGCTCAGTGAAACCAGCCCTTACCTGGGAACCCTGCTGAGAAATTGACTTGTGCCAACAGCTTTCAAAAGCTCTGGGAGGCAGAGAACAGAAACACAGGGCTCACAGCAGGTACCACAGGTGAGGTGACACAAATGCTGGAAGATACTTTATGAGCCCAAGCTGACCATGTTACATTAGGGACACACTCTGCGGATTTTAACTGTGTTTTCCAGACACTGGACATTTTAAATGCTATGCTAGTAGCTTTAGCTGATCTTGTATTCAGTCACATCCTGCAAGCTGCAAGGCTGATCTTTGTTTATGCTTCCCTGAGCTGTGATGTTGTAATGCTAACCAGGCCACTGCTTTTGGGGAAGCAGATAGCAACATCCTGCTGAGATAGGTTTAAACTGAAGGCACGTACAAGGTCATTAGCTTATTTTTGCATGATAAAGTGGTAAAAGACATTAGTATAAAATTCCACTAAAATAAAACTACTTAAGCAAAGGAGGCTCCGCAAAATACTCCCCAGAGATTTAAGTAACACCATGATTGTGAGCTCTTTCTGGCAAAAAGCTCAAGTTCTATCCATATTGTAGGTATCTGCCTGATGCAGTCCTGCAGCTGTATYCTTACACGAATTCATAACTGTGCAGATTGCTGCTGCCCTTATTTCGTAATCACTGCAGCAACCTAGCAGAATTAAAATAATTGAGAYTTCAGCAAGCCAGTAGCAAGACATATGCAGAATATATCTTAATACACTGAGAATKAATCCATTTTGCCAGTCAGATTAAATTGCAGTGCAAAATTACTCAGTGCCAGTTTGTTGTCACTGGCTTATTCACAACCCCACTGGCAAAACCAGTGCAAACATCAGGGGACCAGGACAGGGACACAGATACAACTGAAAAGAATTGACATTGCACTTCTCACAAAGAACAGTAAAACCTCTAACCTTGCATTTCTGCGCTTTGGCATGGTGCAGAACATCCTGATAATGCCTTGCATTTGCTGGTCTCACATCTTGCAGCTTGGCTGTGGGCAATAGCAGGGCTTCTAGAGTTTTCTCAGGATTTCCTYGGTCAACTGCTTCATTAATGTGTCCAATTGCAATGATTCCTAAGAAACAGTAAAGTTACCAAAGATGCACTTTTCAAAGAAAGTTGCAACTTTTCTGACATCAGGTACAAACAAAGCAGTAACATGAAGAACAGAAAAATCACRTAACAAGAAGCAGAGGCAGCAACAGAAGCTGATTTAAAATTATTTTTCTTCTTATATTCAATTGAAGCTATTTTGCTATACAGGTTTCCTTCCTACCACAATTATTGATCTGGATAAAGCTGTTCTGAAAAATAGAAATTATCCTTCACAAAAAAAAGGAAAATGCGTTTCCCTATTTTTTAGGCTGAAGCACCTACATGAAGCTTAAGAGAAAGTTGGGTGGCACATATTAATTTGTTCACTAATTTATTGGCTCACTATGCTGAAAATTTTATTTTCAAGTGATTTCAGACCACATTACTTAAAACCCTGATTTGGGCAAATACATCCATACTGCACTCCCAGCTACWGCACTACATAGCCACTAAACCTTGTTTCTTGTAATTTCACTGTAAATAACCAATCTGACAATGCTGACCAGTATCACTCAGTACTTCAGTCAGCAAGAAACAAGGCCCAGTGTGTTTAATAAAACCTTATTTTTTTTTTTTTTTCAGACTGGGCTAAATGGTTTAAAATCAATTTCCTCCTGCCTATAAACAACACGAAAATGCACTGTTTGTGGATCCTAAAAGCACCCCAGAAAGGCCTCAGTCAGATGTTTCACTATTGCCTGTGAGGGATGACATCCCTGCTGCCAGTGGATCATCTCTCAAATGTCTCTAGAACCACCACAACCCTGGTGAGGTCACAGATCCCGATCATCATGAGGCCTGGGGAATGAGCARTTTTTCCAAGGTGATCCCAAAGAGGGACCCATGCAGATATGGGACTTGCTCATGGAAAGAGAGGCCTCCCTTCTTCCCCTTCTCTCCCCATCTGCCCGGTCTAAACATTCCCAGGTGGAGATCAGYGTCACTGAGACCAAGTGCAGCTATTTTGGCACTGAAGACTTTCACTGCTGCTGTAAGGTCATTCCCAACTCCTGCTAAGTGCAGAGGTTCAGACAAAAAAGTGACTCAGTCAAATAAACCCCACCTTGCCAGAAGGCACATGTGGCAAGCAAGCTGTGAGGATCCATGGCAACCTCTCAACTAGATTTAGGAGGCAAAAGTCCAGCCAGTTTTAGTAATTCTGCAATATAAACCTCCCCTTACCAGCATGAAACAGGCAGCACATCTGACACTAAAGCAGCACAGGAAGGGCATGAGCAGCCCGTGGTTACAAAGGCTCTCAAACTGCACTGAGACTGCTTCCAAAATGGCCCGCAGTCTGAAAGCTGCCTCTCCTTTCCCAGCTCCAGCAAATCTAGCACAGCTTGAAAGCCTCAAATTTCTATATGCTGAGGGAAAATCTGGTGCTTTAGCACTTTTGAAGCCCAAATGACCAGCTACCACATTTAATATAGTACCACCCTTTTATGGCAATACAGCTATGTATGTAGCTACATTCAGYTTCAAAAATAAATTCTAAATCTATTCACATGAGAACTTGTGGGYATAGGAAGCCATTTTTAGACAGGAAATCAAGTTACCTAAAAGAAAAGCAAGACTCGCACTTCATAACTTTTTACTGATTCTCATATGAAAAAATTGAAAACATTTACACATTAAAACATGCTTTTCCATGGAACACTGCCTGCAATTTCCTTCCCTACCTCCCAATATGCCCTTTGCTTACAACTGCAAAATCTCCAAAGGGAAACCATCCGGGACTGGAAGATACTGCCAAGCAGGCAGAACCATGGCATTTTTAGCACTGCAGAACTAAGATATCTTTCAGCCATCTGAAACAACCAGGAATACTTCAAAGGCATTTAAAGATCATCAGGCTTTCAAAATTTTTTAATGCTCTTCTCTTTTCAAGAGTGTCTGAACAAGGCCACTCAGTACATAGGTTTACATACCAAAGACCTGACCTCTGTGAGCAATGTGGAGGAAGAATTACTTACTTTCATTTTCTTCTTGAATTTGCATATTAACCATGTCAATGCAGTTCTGGATATCATTCCAGCTTAAATAATCTTGGCCTTGAGATGAAGCCTCTGACTTAATAGACAATAGTGTATCAGCATAACTATAAGAAGATATAAAATACATAAGTGTATTTCATATACAAGATAAAGTGCCATAAAGAATTAGTCAGATGTATAATCTATAATTTAGAGACTAGTATTTTTCCCAGTGAGTGAATTTCAGACAAACTCAGCTCTGGCCAGCAAGTATGCAGACATGCAAGCTGCCTGTGCTACGCATGCWTTTCATGATCTGAGGAAGCGGCCCAGTACACTAATTCTGAGAACTTTTTTTGTCTACATGGGATGATGGCAATACATACACATAAATACAACTTGCTGCATTGTGCAACAGATAAATGTGGGAAAAATTATGGTCAGCTTCTTTTTTTAGGAACCTGCTGTTGTTTTCTTGACACTAATTCAAAGACCAGAATTTCAGTCAGTACTATCAGATAGTAGCATCTCCTGCTACTTCTATGAGGAAGATGACGTGCTGTGGGAAAGTGACTTAAAAAAATTATRGTGCTCTACCCACAACTCAAGATACTCCAAGCACGGATTCTGTAGCCTGTGCCTACTGTTCCTAGAAGGATCACAGATCAGATGAACTGGAAACATTCAGAGTAGAGCAAATTTATGTGTACAGAAGTTAAATAATTCTCATATTCCTGAATCCTAGAAATGCCACAGTATATCAGATCAAATACATGTCTTCTATTTTAATCAGAAGCCTGAGGAATGAATGRTTGCCAGAAAAAAAAATAAAATAGGAGAGATTCATCATTTCCTAATCTGATTTGTCCTTCCAGCATCCAGTAGCCTGCAATTAAGGGCTTTCTGAGCTGGAGACTCTGGATCATTTTAATTATTGCAAATAAGGCTACACTCTGTTAATTTACCTACTCTAATTTGAAAACATATATTATCAAGTAATGAGCCTCACTACATATTSTGTGAGCTGAAATCTTTTTAAAAAATATTCAACTTTATATTTAATAGGGCATAATCTTTTCTTTAATTAAATTCTCAAAAATCCTCAAACAATTAGAGTTATTAGAACCTAGACAATTATTAGTATAGCTGATTCTATTAACCTTCTCCTCAATGTGCACACTTTTGGAGACCTATGACTTCTTACCCCTAAATTTTCTCTTCTGGGAAACACATTCCCAACAAGCTCATCTCTTCTGATAGAAAGCTATTGAACAGCATTGCCCTCAATGAAGTTTTTCTAGATCTATGRTATTTCTTCTGGTATTGTGTAAGTYAAAGCTTCCTGAGATATTCAATATATGGTTGGCGGCACAAGTTAACATAATGACATAATAAAATTTTATTTTACTG